TTAAATATATGTATCTAAATCAAATCCAATTGAATATCTGATAAAGCTGGTATATTTATATGATCCCTTAATAGATTTTTTAATTGCATGAAGTGTATGAATCAATAATAAAGCCACACAACCAAAATTCGATGAAAGGTGACGTACATAATGATATAAAAGCAGTCAAAACATTTACAAGACCTCATCAGGCTTAGTATTTTACAAAATGGTCTGTACCTGCCCTTAAAGAAACTTGATATATATTCTTTTAAATAATTCAAATAGCTGATTTTTTAGTCATCTTAAATTTTATCATACTGTCATTTACTTTAACATTATTATGTTTGTCTCAGATAACATTCAATTTAGATATTTCTTTTTGAATTATGTTTAAATTCATGCCGCTAATAAAGCAGTGTTTATATTCCTTGCTATTATATTTTATTTACTGTTATAGTTCTTTTTTGGTTTCTTTCCAAGAAAGGTGGGGTGGCACACTAATGAACACTCGCTATGCACAAAATCTGATTGAAGAATGACTTACACAAAGTCGGTGTAAAAGAAAAAGGATTCAATGCCCCCCCCCCCTTTTTAAAAAATCGGAACACCTACCCAAAACTGTACTAACAGATAATTCATTTAAATCTCTTTCTCGTCAATTGGAATACAGTCTTTTTTAAAACTTACAATGCGATTTAAAAATTATTCGAATTTCGGGAAAAAAATAAATTAAAAAAAAAAAGTTAGAAATATGTACTATATTTAAATTTCTTGGAAAATGTACCTGATTTCTGTTTTCTTTTCATCAATCGATAATCATCTTATATAATACATGTATAAAACATTCCTGGATGCAAACAACTATTTTCCCGTAAATAACTGTATGTCCCCTAATTTATTTAAACAACCCGTGTTCACGCAGTTATGAAATCATTTATGAAAATAAAAACAAACACAAATTACAACGCAGATTTTAATCTTGCCAAATCCATTATCGTTTAGTGATAACTGAAGGTAAAAAAATACATCATGCAGGATATTACGGTATTTTTATTAAAGGTCAAATTCATAGGAAATAGAAACACTTGTAAATGATATATGTTGTAAATAATAGCTAAAAAGAGGGAATCACAATATTCGTAAAATTTTAAACCTCGTTGTTTTCTTTATTTACCTGTTTAAAAATCGCTAAAAATAACGTTTATCAATAGAGTTACTTCCCCTTTTTGTGACGTCATAAGAGACAATCAACATCAGAAACTGATAGTGGTAATAATATAAATATAGTATAAGTAGTATAAATATAATATATATAGTGCTCTCAATTATCTTAAAAAATGGCAAATTTTAGGGATTGGAGATGTTGATATACCAGAGGTAGATCTTTCATTTAAGAATACTAGGCTCTACATGTTTGAGCCAATCAAGGAAAGTACATGAAAATGATTATTCTTCTTCGACCGATTCTGTTTCGTCCGAAGGCTCCAGGCGCGTAGCTGCCTAGATATGAAAATACGCAAGTGCGTACACATCACCCACCCCAACCCCCAAAAAACAAATAAGTAAGAAGAGAGGGAGAGAGATCCGGAAAAAAATCATTCCCATCCAACAAATATTCGTGTTTCGAATTATTTTGTGTCATACTGTTTTTATTTGAATTTAAAATTATCATGACTCTAATAAAATTTGAAACCCTTTATTAAACCATTGCCAAGTCATTCATTGATTTGTAATTGTTCTTTGATACATTGATTTTTTAAAAAAAAAGATCTTTGAGAAATAATTCAGGCGCACCGTTGAATGATATGATCTATTAGTATATGATTTAAAAGTTAATATTTAGTATATATACGTGTTTTTGATACTTTTATTTTATTTTGTAAGCAAAAACTACATGGCATAATTTTTATTTTGCCACAAAATGAATGAAATAACTGTTAAAAGGCAGAACCTTCTGTGCCTTCACGGGGGGGGGGGGACCCCACTCCCCCCCCCCCTTATTTCCAAATCTTACCTTTTACTATTCAAAATGTTATTTAAAAGGGGGATTACCCCCACCCCCCAACATTAATTGAAGTGTTGTTAGATCATAGTAATTTGGTAATAATAAAATTTTGATTTTTTAAAGTTGGAGCCTTACACCCTCACCTCCCGACCCCCTGCCGCTCTCTGCGTACACTTCACTTCCATTCTGGCTACGCCATAAGACGCTTTCATTAATGAATATTTCAAAATCAATTACATCACCCTTATTTAGTTTTTAGATTAAAGAAAAAAATTAATATTCAACTATCTATTCTGATTTCATGTGGTAACTGTGTTTCGATGCCGTCAGCAAGAGAAAATAAATGCTGCAGAAAAACAAATGTTGTGTACAGCAAAATTGAGGAACAATCACTTTGTATAATATCCGAGGAAAATGCCTTACGTACAGACAAGAAGTATCGTGGGAGGGGGTGCTCCCCTGACTTTTTCCTAGAATTAATTTCTTGCATTTAACCCTTACTTTTTTCTAGAAGTAATTTATTACTTTTACATTTTCATGAAAGGATGGTAGCAAACCTCTCCCCGTTTTTTACAGTAAGGTCAATTTCCCACACCTCAATATATCCAATTTTTTATTCAGAAAAAGACTACCCCCTCCCCCACCCTTTTTAATTTTTTTTTTTTTTTTTTTTTTTTTTTTTTTTTTTTGGATTTCTTTTTACATTTATGTACACCATGAAAAAAAAAAAAAAAAACAAGAACAACATGCAAATGGTATTTCCTGAATCATTTACTACTCTACGTACATCCCACAGATTTGTTGGATGGGTATATCAGCGCCTCGGGAAGGACAGATTAATTCTTGTTCGCAGGCTCCTGACGAATTGTTGGTGTATATAACCCCATCCCCACTGAGCTTTTTTAGGCACGATAACTAAGGAAATATACATCAATTCCTTGTCTGTCATACCAATACTTCGATATTTATATCATTTTCCGTTTCTGTCAAGTTGTAGAGATTGTTCCTTAACAGTATATCAGTCATTCTACGATAAAGGGACCAATTCAGGGTATAAAACATGAAAAAAAAAATATTGCTTGAAATATCAAATTGAACGTCATAATTCTCTAACGGACATGTCAGTGAACTTGAAAAATAAAAGAATTGTCCACAAATCTGGTATAGTTAACTTTTTACATCAATTTCATTTTACCATTGATTTTTAGGTAATGTTACGGAAGTTAATGCTTGAGCAAGTCTTTTTTTTTTTTTTTAATAAAGCTGAATTTGACCAATTTTTCGTTTTCTGATCTTCAGTATAGAACGCTGAAGTATGATTCTTGAAGTCTGGCATGAATCCGATATCAAGTTAAAATTTCGGTAAAAACATCGTTACGGAAGTTAATCGTTACGGAGATTAATTTCCAGGAATAAAACTGAGTTGAAATTCTAGGCAATTATAGTTGAAATTAAAGTTTGTGTTAAGATGTAAAATAATATCGCTCCCAAAATAATAAAAATGTTTTATCTTTAATGCAAAAACATTCCTGAATTAATGACAGACAAGGAATTCATGTATATTTGCTAAGTTAAATTCTCAGTAGGAAGGGGGGAGGCAATGTACACAAACCATTCGTCAAGTGCCTGTGATCTTGTCTACTACAGTACTCGACTGTAACGAAAATCCTAAAAACCCAAACAAATATACAATATAAATTTGAAATAAAACCAAGAAATTCGTGAGTCGTTTTATGTTTAATAAAACTGTAAATTGCTCATGTAAAATGTCGCTCAGATAGCGTCGCATGTTGATTGGGTTCAACACCATCTCTTTTTAAATTTAATGTCCATATTTTTCTCAATTTCGGGTCCTTAGAAAATAAATATATACTCATGTCTTGTCCCAGTTTATTGGTACAGTTAAAAGCGCACAGGGCAACATCTCGCCAACAATAATGTTCCAAACCCAGCAATATAAAGTTTGTACTTTCTATTTCTCATTGTCTCTTATGACGTCACGCAACAAGGGAAAGAAGCGATTTACAATAAGCGATCCACTTGTCACACAGGTAAATTTAAACGACGATTAGTTATGTAATTGGTGGCAAAAAATTAAACAGACTATATAATGTTATTCATATTGTTCCAAAGGCTGATAATAATGAATAATTTTGGATTTTCAAAAAAATATTATACTTGACCTTTAATGTCCTCTGTTTGTCACCAAGTACAATCTACCTTTAAATCAAATATTGACTGATGTTTTTAGAAGAAAAAAAAATAGGCCATTATTTTCACTTTAAATAACCTACGAATTTTCCCGTAAACCCGATCATGACAAGGAGCACGCGCCGGGCGAAACAGGTCAACAGGGGATGCTTACTCATCCATAATATCTGATCCCTTGTCTGATGTTCTTTGAGGTACATGTTTGCTCTGCTCCCAATTTGTACTTTTTCAGTGGACATTCGAGCTTGATCACTCTTCGTTATTTTTATATTCCATTTTTAAGTATACATATGCACCAAGAGTTAAATCTTTTGAGCCTCGTGATATTATGGAATACTAGTACATGTGCTTACATTTGCAAATGTTCACCCTGATATTTTCAATATTTGAAAAAGGCATATTTAATTCTGTATATTAACAAAATCGATTCATGACATTGAATTCATTTTTAAGCAACACACGATAGATATAATTTCACAATGATGTCATAAGTCGGCACATTAAATTTATTCCTTTGAGGTTTAAAAAAAGGAATTATTCCATGGATTTAAAAAAAAAGTGCCCAGGTGTTGGTATAAATCAGTCACAGGTGTAAATATAATTATTAGATATCTTTTTAAACATTTATCGGGATGTAAGTTCGGGTTGGTACGTTATCAAATTTCAAGGGATTTGATCACATGAGAAATCCATATTAACATTAAGGTAAAAATAATACTTGATTTTCTAAATGAATTTTAAATTTTAGGTCAATGTATCACTTTCATGAGGTAAAATTACAAAACACATAAAACCCCGTAATTTCAATTTTATTACATGAACTTCCAAAGAAACAAGGAATATATATGTATTAGCGAACAACTCGTGTTCTTTCAATCCCTTCATTCGTCCGAGGTCAAATCCTCAAGCTGTAATCAGACAAATGGTTATGATTATCCAAAAAGAAAAATATCAACACAGTTTAATGTCACTCCTAGAATTAACATCCATATGATATAGTTACCTGAGCACCGTCATCTGGTTGAGGAAATCTTTTTGCAACTTGCTCCTATAATTAAAGAAATTAAGATTATTTCTGATCCTTTTTTTTGCTTCGAAATTTTATTTTCTTACAAAATGTATCTTTCATATGATGACAGAAATATACATGTATTTGAAGAAAAAGAGCAATATTGATTATGAAACTACTTTGTAACACAAACTACCATTATTTGCTTTTTATTAAGCATATAGCACGGTATTCACCAAGATTGACAGAATGTTTATATTATTGCCTATACAAATTACAGTGGTTGGTAGTAAAGATCACAATAAGATTCTGCTATCTCTGACAATGTTATATTATATAAAAGAAAGCAGTCGATGGATATGCTTAACACGAAAAATTAAGTCCCTGTCTTCAGTGGGTAGTAATTACCGCATTCCTCTTTTTCCCTGCACTGCACGTGCATCCACAGCCCCTCGGACCACAACGACATCTACAGTTCCTCCGCCACCAACTCTTCGATTCCACTTCTTCCAAGATCAGAATATAGGTAAAAAGAACAATGCAAAGAAATATAACAGTCCTCATCCTACAAAAAAGTATTAAAACAAAAGAAAAATCAAAAGTGATAAAAATATAAAAAATGGGTAAAAATCAGTCCTTACAGGAATTGAAAATTAAAAACGTATTACGTTCTTTATGATCAGAGTTTATAAATTTTATGTTTTTCCTGCGGAAATACCACCGTAATTAAACAGTTATTGACTCAAATAAAAACCCTTCAGTTAAAAAAAAGTTATTTAGATATTGATCACATGACTTCGTGACGTCAAAGACGACAATGGCTGACCAGGTCTTCATGTTAATCTTACTAAAATATACGCGATACAATCTGGATCTTCTGCGTTTTGGACGATCAAATCCTTGATTTTTTTTTTCGACATGAATTTGGAAATCCGACCTTATTTTTTGAATTGTCAAAAGAAAAAAAATCAGCAAAACCTGTAAAATAGCGGCAAAGAAAGCTAGGGAGACGCGGCGAAAACGAAGAAACTTGCCTCCCAGTATAATTTGATTTCCCCCATCTTATTACACATATTAACCAATTTTATTCACAAAACTCACATAACAGAAGTTTTTATTGTTCATTTTTATTATAAATTTACTTTATGCAAGTATTTTTTTGTATATTTTGTGAAGGCTGACAGACAAAAAAAACTAGTTTCCCCATCACAAAATATTACCGTAAACGGAGCTACAGATTCTAAAATTTAAAATAAAAAAAAGTACAAAAGCGTTTTACATTACATCTAGTCATATTTCTATAGCTGAACTTGAAATTCAAGTTAAGAATTAAACTTTTCGGTATTTTTCATAATAAGACTGCATTTGAGCCGTTCCAAGCAACCCCCCTCCCCCATGTAATTTTACAGAATTTTACGTCATAATAATAAAAAAAGCGGCGTCATTGTTTTGCAACAAAAAGTGCAAGCGAAATACATCGGGCAATGACTCTGTTCCAACTAAGTGCTTTGTTTTAAATCACTGAACTTTCTCCCGCTTGTTCAAAAATCTATAGGTACAAGATGAGAAAGTATTTATTTTTATTGTACAAAATAATTTCATGGGCTCTTGAGTTTTACAAATTATGATAAAAACATACATGTAACACTGCATAAGGACATAATGTAGAATATTATTAATCAATGTTGAAATATGTACATTATCTTTAATGAATAAACATGCTTTAGGGCTAACATATTCACGTATGCAGTGGGTGAAAAATCTGAAAAAAAAATTTCCAGAGCAGCTAAGCCAGATAACTCAAAATGCCATTGAAGCCTCTCGGGGTTTTCTGTATTAGAAGTTTGATTGTCATTAAAAAGCACAAATCTAATCGACATGGTATACATATAGCTCTTCATTTTTACTACTGATCACTTAAGTGAAACATACTTATAACACAATGCCAGGGACCAATAAAATTGTTATAAACGGTTTTCTTTATATCCGATAAACTATAATGCATTTGCAAAAGGTATGGGAGATGAAAAACACGTCTTTGTAAGAGTGAAATAAAGCTTAAAATAATAATAAGCAGTTTCAGTGTAACCTTATATAAGAATATATCTAGTGCTTCTCACGTGTACATTATAAGGGAAAAAGTAAAAAAGAAAAAGAGAGAGATTCAAAAGAATAAGTATTCTAAAAAATAATCTTACCTTTTGTCTTTTGTGGATTTTCGACTATTTGATAATCAGTTTATTTCATTTATATAGTTTAAGCTAAATGCAACATCTTTGAACCAATTTAGATTTTTTGGACCTGTGACATGTGAAACAAAGTGTTATTTACATATCACCAGTAAATCCAATATATATTTGGAAAACATATTTATCAACAAGAGGATATGAGTCAATATTATTTTTTTTTATGATGTGGCAAAAATAAAGTATTTGCTTGTTTGTTATAAAGTTCGCTACATATCATCTTGAATTGGAAGGAATAGAGGTTATAGCAAATAAATAATCGAAAAGATATTAAAGCCTTTGTATCTTCAGTCTTAACGCTGGAAAAAATACCTATTGTACAGAATAGAATAGAGACAAAACTGTATTTTAAAAATAATGAAATAGATTTGTGGTTTTATGACGTAATGAAACAGTTTTCTTGTGATAATTTGCATTAACGCAAAATGCATTCCAAATTTTAAAACAGGAAATAAAAACAACGAAATATGTAGTTTCACTACTTCTATATTAATTCTTGCCACTGAGATGTTCACAGTGTGTTGTCATAAATTTAAAACATCTTAAAAAATTTGATTGTCATATAATTCCAAGATGATATTTGTCCTGAAATAAACAAATTTAAAAAAAAGTAGTTGCCTGCTTGTTTATGAGATTTTTTTTTCTGTTTCGTGATTTTGTAAACAATTTCTTGGGGTTTGTATTCTTTTCACATGTATGATGTCTTAATTACAGAAAACAAGTTTTTTTCTCGTAAAGATACCAAACGCAAACTTACTTTTGATAAACAGTGCAAAATTTACATATAGTAGCTTGAGGTTTCCACAATGCATATAGTAACAAAAGTTGAAGATAATCAAGTTTGATCCATTTCAAAGAGGATATCCACGAACGTAATATAATTTGTATTATACATGTAATATTATATTATTAAGGTAATTTATGAGTATTAGTTTAATAGTATATTCCGGTTTTGGAAAGTAAGGTCTGTCTTTGTTACAATAACGCGCTTGAACATTGATAATTTCATACCGTGGTGCCAAATATATGCAATCGGAGATATATACTGTAGATACGTTTTTCTGTTTTCTAATCCGAAGGATATACATTTTTGTACTGTCTGTCGACTTGATTTGCTTAAAAAATACTCTGTGTAACATACTCACGGATGTAGCTGTATGTCTATACTTAATGATCTGTTTATTACAATACAATTATGATTAAAATAAAACGGCATGTAAAAGTAAACCCAGTTTGTTTATAATCATATAATGACGATAAGAAAAATCTTCATGTATATAAATATATATATATATATATATATATATATATATATATATATATATATATATATATATATATATATATATATATATATATATATATATATATATATATATATATAGATAGATAGATAGATAGATAGATAGATAGATAGATAGATATTAAACATGAGGATATCATAGAAAATCACATTACAAAGAGTCTACAGCTTAAACGCATTTCAGGTCCCTTTCCAGACCCACCATTTGACCCATTTGTTTCTTCCCCACTAGGAGTAGTACCAAAATCTGAGCAAGGAAAATTCAGGATTATTCATGATTTATCTTACCCGAAAGACAATTCTGTTAATGTGAACATACCCAGAGAAAACTCAGCAGTACAATGTGATACCATTGACTGGATAATTCAGCTAGTTCAGAAGAATGGCAAGAACTGCTTGATGGCAAAAACTGATATAGAAGATGCTTTTAGAATAATCCCAGTTAATCCATCTGACTATCATTTATTAGGTTTTTCTTGGAAGAATAAGTTTTATTTCGACAGATGTCTACCGATGGGAGCAAGCAGTTCATGTCAGATTTTTGAACAGTTAAGTGTAGCCTTGCAGTGGATTATGCAGTCAAGGTACATTGCGGGGGGTATGTCTCACATCCTAGATGATTTTTTCTTTATTGGCCCAGCTGATTCTCCTAACTGCGAAAAAGATCTAACAAACTTCCTCTACTTATGCAGGAAAATTGGGGTTCCTCTCAAAATGTCAAAAACACAAACTCCGACCACAATTATTACAATCTATGGCATTGAGATAGATTCTACTAGAATGGAAGCTCGTCTTCCCTTTGACAAAATTAGGAAAGTAAAGCAAAAGCTTTTAGATATGCTGGGAAAAACCCGAACAAATCTACGTGATCTTCAAGCCCTAATCGGGTTACTGAACTTTGCATGTTCTGTAATTGTTCCTGGGCGTGCTTTCTTGAGACGTTTGATCGATTTGACCTGTGGTGTAAAACATCCCAATGACTTGATTGAACTCCCTCATGAAACAAAAGCTGACATAGAAACATGGCTAACATTTCTAGCCACTTTTAATGGAAAATCTGTTTTCTTGTCAGAAAAATGGTTTTCCTCTAACCACCTCACATTATACACAGACGCTTCTGGGTCCATGGGGTTTGCAGCCATTTTAGACTCCCAGTGGTTTGTTTCTCATTGGCAAGACAATATGGGGGAATATCAAATTGCAATTAAAGAACTTTTCCCAATAGTTTTGGCCATTGAAATTTGGGGCAAAGAGATGGAAAATAAAAGGGTACTCTTTATGTCGGATAACATGGCGGTGGTACAAGTTATAAATAAGCAAACTGCCAAAGAAAAAATCCTCATGAAATTGATACGCCGCCTTGTGTTGGCAACCTTAAAATGGAACATACACTTTAGAGCAGAACATATACCAGGAAAACACAATGTTGCAGCTGACCGCTTATCTCGATTCCAATTTCAGGCAGCCTTCCAGTTCATGCCTCAGTTAAATCGACAGCCAACACACATTCCACAGGCCTGTTTGAAAATCTGAATCCACAAGCATGCCAACTTCTAGCAGCTGCTTTATCGAATAGTACAAAGGCCTCTTACAAAAGAACATGGGACATGTTTGCCTTAGAATATCCTACAATCGATTCCCTTCCGATTACTGTTACAGTTTTATCAAATTTTATAGCACAACTTTTTTCAAAGGGGTATTCCCCTAGCAGTATATCCTCACATGTATCAGCAAATAGCTATGTGCACAAGATACTGTATCTCCCAGACACTGCTGAGGCATTTTTAGTCAGAAACATTCTCCAAGGGTGCTATCATTCTGCACCAAACAAAGATTCAAGATTGCCAATTACTGCCCTCATATTGTCAAAATTAGTAAGAGGTCTCAGTTCATCAGTACAGAATTTATATTCAAGGATCCTACTCAAGTCCATTTTCCTTTTAGCGTTAAATGCATTCTTGCGTTTTGGGGAACTTGTTATCAAATCAAAAGATGACCAATCCAAAGTCATTCAGCGAGACGATGTGACTTTTCAATTTCAACATGAAACACCTTGTGCAGTCACAATAGTATTGAAGAACTTCAAAACAAATAAAACAAATGATCTTTTTCAAATTAACCTTCAGGCTTCAGGCAACGAAGATATGTGCCCAGTTCAAGCACTGTGTCTCTACCTAAAAACATTTTCTCAAGAATCGGGTCCCTTATTTCAATTTGTGGGGGGTGAACCAGTCACATATGCATTTGTAACCAAAAACTTACAAAATACAATTCGCTTTATTGGCCTTAACCCAGCTCTTTATAAAGGGCATAGTTTCAGAATAGGGGCAGCTACACACGCAGCATATTTAGGCTATTCTGAAAACTGCATTCAGAAAATGGGCAGATGGAAATCTGATGCTGTTCGTAGATATACAGTACCCGCATCGTTATTCTTTACAATTCTATCGTGTCCTATCGTGCGTTTATCCTATCGTATCGTGCGTGTATCCTGTCGTATCGTGCGTGTATCCTATCATATCCTATCGTATCGTGTTTTCCGTTTATCAGTTTTTGCGTTTTCTATCGTGTTTTCCGTTTATCAGGTTTTGCGTTTATCGTGAAGATCGTTTATCAGGTTCTATCGTGTATCGTGTTTTGTGTTTATCGTGTGCATTCGGAAACCCTCGCTTTTTATCTTTACCTTGAGAAGAAACACCCGAGATATCCCGAGTTCATTTTTCGTTTTGTTATTTTATTTACGATCCATTTAATTGTTGAAGAGAGAGAGAGAGAAATTAATAACTTATCTGATTCTCTGGTATATAAATTTAAGAAAATAAATAAATAAATTACTAAATAAATAAATACATAATAAATAAAAAAAAACGTCAAGTACCGGCCGTAACCAAGCAGAGAGCGTAAATCGAAATTTAAGTCTATTTAGCACATAAAATAATCGGTCTACAAGTCAATCGTTCTTTTTTTTTTTTTTTTTTTTTTTTAATTCAGATTGTCGATTTGTAAGAAATACTATTTGTCAAAAATAGAAATATGATAATTTCTTTAAATAGTCAGAGTCACCAAAAGGTAGACCATTATTAACTTTCTTTTGATAATTATAGAAACATAAAACAGTGGGTATGTGTGCAAAAATAAATAAATTGAAAAAATATCAGCATCTATATAAGGCCTATCTTTTTTATCAATAATGGAATTAATCAATAACAAGTTATTCATTTTTCAGAAACACTAGTAGAAGCACTTTTTTATTAATATTTGAAAAGCATCGTTTGGTAACACACATGTACATGTAGTTAAATTTTTATGCCTCTATTCTAAATGTATGCACAATCAATTACCTAAAGGATTGTTTCCAAATGATTCATAAAGGCATATACAATGTAATGCATGATCTTGATAACATTTACAAATTTTGTCTGTACGTGAAAGTATGTACATGTAGTTCATATTTATTTATTTTTTCTATTTATTTGTTTCTCTTATGTGTCTAACTAAAAAATAAATTACAATTTATAATGCATGTGCATGTTCTATTCAATTCACCATAATTATAATTATATATTATAATGTAGATGTTTAACCATTTTTACTTACTACTACCTTTAGAAAATCGGGGGAAAAAAATCAGTATACATCTTACCTATTTCGGCGTGGAAATGAACTGAGTATATAGTGTACATTGACAGACGGAAGCGCTCCAGTACTTAAAGAACTGACACCTATATGTACCTGCCTAATCAGTACACTGTCTTCCTGTCAGGTCAAGACCCAACCCCCTACCCCTACATGACACCTTAGCCCGTGTGTATTCAACATCAACATACCTGAACTGCTCTTTCACCTGGTGTCAAATATTTACCTTGAACCCTTCTGGGTATCAATATATGCAAAAATTTATATGAAATCGCCCGGTTTTGCTTCCATACACAAGACATGTAAATGCCTTGAATTTAATTTCATAAGTGTTTATCAATTACATATAATACTTGACTATATTCAAGAAGTCAATATATATTTTAATTTTTTTTTAATCGGATCTTTTTTTTTTTATTTTAGTGGTTAGTGCACCCCCCCCCCCCCCCCGCTGACTGTGCCTCAGGTGGGATTAAGACTTTCATAATTTACAAAGTTTTGTTTTATTTTGCCGATATAGCCATAAATAAGATAAGTTTAGTAACAAATAATGCAAAGTCTAATAGAAATTATTTACAGGTATTCAGTCCGAAAATCTGCTTGTCATATTGTGGAAATTTATTTTACATTATTATTTATTTGTGTGTGAATCAGCTTAGCATACGGTTAGCTATGTTAGATATAAATTCTGTTAATGTGAATATTTATAACCAGCTTTTCCGCGAAAAGAATCCTGCTTTTCCGCGACAAATTACATTGCTTTTCCGCGATTTTATTTTTTGCTTTTCTGGGATTTAATTTAGCACTTATCCTTTCCGCTAGTCAGGTAAATACTCTTTCTCCCTGCTATCAACCGGCTTCAATTTTTTTTTGGTCTTTACTGAGATTTTTGTCAGTATTCTTTGTGTTTCTATCTCGGCAATCTGTAATTGCGACTTTGCATATTTTATCTTTATCAGTAAGACACATCGCCATTATTTAAAATATTGACCTTTCTATACGTAAATCCATCGTTTGAAATATATATTTGTTACCACGAGTTGGTTCGTTATGAACAATTTCCATGGCACCTAAAGCATCACCGACCAGTGTAGTATGTGATTCATTCAATTTTTATCACAGTGTGGTACTATCGAGTAGAACTTTACAGGGAGATACATGATAATCCGGTAAATATCAGTTTGATGTAAAGTACTTACCGTGACAATTTAAAAATCGCGAAAAGGAAGTATCGAAAAAAGGAGAAAACATACAACTTATAGTAAAATTCAATCGCGGAAAAGCAGTATAGGGTAGTCGCGAAAACGCAGACAGGTTGCAAAAATAAAATCGCGGAAAAGCAGGTGGGCGAGGCTTGTGTAGAAAGAATTTTCATTTCTTTAGGGGCGGGGGGGGGGGGTCTAAAAAGAAATGTTTTGACAAGAAAACAAAAGAGGCTAAAGACATTATTGTTGACGGGCGATATTATATAAGCATTATATTTTACTCTATACTAAACATGTTGGTACACTGTAACATTTTTAGGTACACGACTGCGTTCTCCCTTCTGGGTCCTATACAGGCCTATGACATTGGAAATACCAGAGAATGATTACAAAAGAATGGAAATGCGATATTCTTTTCGGATACTAGATGATCTAGTGACGTTTATTAATTTTGTTAAATTCGATTTCTTTCGGCCGTTATCCTTCTTCATATATATACATATACAATGTATGTACATACATATACAATGTATGTACTTGGAATATGTAAATGATTAATTTTCGTACCGGTTATATATTTGTGACATATACATGTATATTTAAAGAGGAGAGATTGTATAATCACAGTCCAGTGCACAGCCTGTGTCAACGCAACTAGCTTATTTCAGCAAGTAACGTGTTTAAAACGTAAAAAAAAAATAATATAAATAAAAACAAAATCATAAAATACCCCCCCCCCCCTTTAAACTGACTAGTAAATTATTTTCGTAAGATTTGAATTATTAAATACCGATAATTTAAATTAATGCGATTTTGGATACATCACAGATTTCTTGCAGAAGATATTGAATCCAAATATTTCATTTATAACAGAGTTCTTCCGGATATATACTCAATATTTGATAATAAATTTATAAGGTTTCATTTGTTAAAATCTGAATATATTTATAGCGTTTCATGAATTATTGCACCTGGTTTTAAACTTCGATTGACTACGGAATTTTTGAGCCACCATCATTAAAATCTCTGTTTCTAAACGACTAAAATTCAAATTTAACGATTCGAGGGAATTTCGACATTTGAATTATTATACAAGCAATCGCATAATTCCTACCAAAGAGTGCAATTTACCTAAAATAATTACAGTTTTAATTTTGTGACGAACCATTATTGACCAAAAAAAAAAAAAAAAAAAGTTTCTTGTACAAAGCATAGTTACCTCAAATGTTTAATCATAATACATTTAATATATTTAAGCATTTAGATTTGCGGCTTTGTAAATAATTTTAAAAAATCATCATACTACAGTGTATCTAACAAGGAAATAATTCGTCTTGTCAAAATACGTTTAGCATTTTGAAACAATCCTATCAGGTTTTGCGTTTATCCTATCGTGAAGATCGTTTATCAGGTCTATCGTGTTTTGCGTTTATCGTATTTTGCGTTTATCGTGTTTTGCGTTTATCGTGTTTTGCGTTTATCCTATCGTGCGTGCATCCGGTCTTATCGTGCGTGTATCCTATCGTATCGTGCGTTTATCCTATCGTATCGTGCGTGTATCCTATCGTATCGTGTATCCTGTAAAGAATAACGATGCGGGTACTGTATACCCTTGCAAGGCTTTACAGTTTGAATTCCAACCTCTGGTTAGATCCTTATAAAATACCGTGTTCAATCAACTGTGCCATAGTC